ACCTTTAGTGATTAGTTCAAACCACTATCTTGAGAAATCTAGTGCGTGATTGATGAGGATCTAATCGAGGAAACATAGTGGTTCATTAAGAGATGATCTCTCTTAGACATATGAAGAATCTTTGTGGTTTGTAACCTTGAATGAGCCTTTATCTCCTACTCTAGAGTATTTATCTACAACATACCCGCAGCATAGGGTGTCTTTGCGGATCACATAAGTAGTTTCTCCTTTGTCATTAAGGGGAGGGTGAAGCAAGAGGGGGTTTATATCTAGCAACTACACGTACTGATGCCAACATAATCGTCTGAATCACCAACCCCTGTCCTCCAATCTAAGGAGTGCAACTATGGTTAAAATTAACTTTGTTTATGAGTAGACATACTGATCGTGTAATTATGCTATTTCATGAAAGACACTGTGATGATCAGGATCTATTAACGTCGGACGGAAAGAGGCTCTTACTACTGCAAATACGGAATAAGAAACCAGATTGAGTCAAAAAGAATCACAGCCACGCCACAGAACACGCCTGGGAACATCACACATATCACATTCCATACAGGGGTCACCCGGGGACAACTGCGAAAGCTCAGAGTTCTGACCAGTGCGTGAGCGGGCAGGACGGCGGTGCGTGCGGGGGGCGGGGGGAGAGACCAAAGCGATGGCCGCCTGCGCGCCGGACGTGCGTGGGACACGCGCCCGGCCCGCCGGGCACGCGACACCGTCGCGACCACTGCGCGTTCGAAATAAACGAAGTGAATGAAAACTGTTGGCATTGAAGCAGCTGCGTAGACCAGGGGTGCGCCACATCTGCCACTTCGAGAGCTGCATAGCTCCACAGCAGCGCAAGCGAACTGTGAACCAGGCGATGGCCCAACGTCCATTTCCAATATAGAGTGTGTTAAACACAAGAAAGCAGCAACACGGGCCAACGTCAAACTCCAACCGTGTGTTTATGCTCCCACTGAGTGAGGAGAAGCACTACAAAGTAGAGGCACAAGGAGTGTGGGATGGTGAAACATCATCATTTCTGGTGGGGGGAGCGTCCTTGAACACTGTGTTATCGTGTAACATTTAAAGCAGACGCAACGACAGCCGTAAATTATGTGGCTATACGAGCTGCAGCACACAGGCAAAGGGTGAAAGGTTTGCAGGCAATCGTAAGAGGAGAGAGGCTGTAATCAAGCTGGCATGGAAGGTGCGAGAAAGTAAGGCTGAGTTCGAATTGCTGATATCATATATGGTTCTTAGGAAGCTCACGTTGAGAGTAAGGATGAGAAGGTTACGACTGGATTTATCAACAGAATGGGTGTTTGAACATAGGAGAAAGTATTGTGCAATTGTAATATAGATATTCAGTATATGATTCAGTATTATGGTATCGGGTTTGTCACCTTAGTCGAAATAACGGTTCACCGTAATATAGAATCGTCCACTCGATGAACCGACTTGTTCGAACCGCTGGGATGGGCGTACAGGGTGAAGCCCGAAGAAGACAGAGGAGCCGGGAGAGCACGCGGCTAGTAGGTGTACGGCTCACGGAGTTGTTTGGCGTAAGTCGGAGGATGCACGCGCGGTAGTGCGGCCGCTGGCCAAACGTTCAAGCTGGAAGCGTTATTCCGAGGGTCTGAATACGTGGACGACTGGCTCAGGTCTTATTTGCATCGCCAGCTTCAGCCCCACTGCCAATGACCACTTAGACGGCTACACAGCCTGGTCCTCTGTAGACCTCAACAAAACCCCACTCATGTTACTTTATACTTGTACGCTGTGGTATATTGTGGCATGAGTTAGTAACGCCCATGCTGAACGTACCAAATCTGTTCATGACAATACAGGTGAATAGTGTTATGTCCTAAACTTAACAATGTTCTCAACATATATGAATAGGTTCTTCCTTTAGCTCTAAGTTAAGCCTCAATTAATTAAAACAGTGTCCCATAAACGTTAATCGCTGTTTCAGTTTTTTTTCCAATTATGTTAAAAGAAGTCCAAAAATTTTCCGAGCTGCGATTCTTCTCATTCTGATGTTGCTACCGCAACCCATTGCCACACCTGTGATCCCGCCATCGCTAGACATGCTGGGTAATGTAGAATGTGGATAATGATAATGATAAATACCGAGGTACAGCTGGTTTTTTGTGTGTGTGTGTGGGTGTCAGGTGTCTATTGTCATCTGTGGGAGATCGTGTAAAAAAGTGCTTGGACTCGTACCTGTGTGCTGATGGCCATCTGTTTCCGCCAGTAGGAGGCAACGTGAAGGAGATGCAGTGCAACGACACACACCACACACAACACACACACACCAAAGCACACACACAGCAGAGACAGGGCACACATGACAGACCTTCCACGACATACGAACCAGCACACGACTGCAGCATGGGTAGGCTGCGTGCGTATTGCGCGCGGCGCCAGGGCCCTGGTCCGGGGAAAATACTGGGTGCAAATCTGAGTTCACACGGTGACGTACGCCAACGAGGTGCAGCTGAAATAGACGTGAGATGGATCCACGCAAGAGCATCTACCCGCTTTCGTCTCCTTGCCAAAGACACTACACATGGCACCGAGACAGCGTCGCGCACAGCGGCGGAGATCTCCGCCACGGGTATGTCAGCAGCCTGGCACCAGCGCATTAGTCATGAACTGGTTACTACGGCTGTCATCGTAGTGCGCTAAATATGATCTGGGCCTCAAGCTAAGCCGGAGTACGACCCAAAGCTGCAGTGGATGATTCGGCAAAGCGTGGCATCATACCTGCAGCGACCGCGCTCCACAGCGACCGTATTATGTATGTGTGTGGTGTCGTGTGCATGTAACCATCCGAGAACCGATCGTCCTTTTTAATGCATCTACTTCTACTTAAAACTATCGACAAGCTACTTTGTCGTTGGCCCTCGTTGCTCCCTCCTTTGTCGCTTTTCTTCTTTCGGAGCCCGTCGCGGCAGCCGCGCTCACCGCTCCGCCCTTCGTGGGTTCACCTCAGGAGTGCGGAGGGAGTCCTCCCGGGCGGATGCATCGGCGCTCTTCTTTTTCTCTTTTCTTACGTTGTCTATTAACTGTATTGGTGTCTTTGTTCTGCACTACTGGCTCCACCGGCTCGCCCTCCATGGTGCGGACGTGCGCGCGGCCGGGCGAGGCGGCGGGCGACGGGCGCGGGAAGGCGTGGCGCCCCGTGCGAACGCTGCTAGTTGCTCATCCACGGGGGGGCGGTTTCTTCGCTAAGTGTGATCGTACATCCAATTTAACTCCTTACTTTCTTTTCCTGTCATCCTAATGTTTCAGATCGGCTCCGTGTTGAAACTCTGTTCAGCTTCAGTTCATAAGCGTCTGACTGGCGAGGCTTCTCTACTGGTTCTACGTTGAGAACATAAAGAGTCTTTCTGATGTTCTAATGCACACACGACGACACACATTACATTTTACGGGTGTGTGGAGTGTGCAGGGAGGATGCCATATTGCGAATTCCAACTTGCAGCTTTTTGGGTGGACTCTGCTTACTTGAGCTGCCACTCATTATTTAGATTAGATGCAGCCGTTAACGTAGGTATATGTGTGCATGTTCAATAGTGTGTGTGTTCTGTGCATGTGTGTGTTTTGGGAACTTGCTTATAGTTATTTCACGTGTTTGGAAATTCGGCATGCTACATATTGTGGAGGCCTGGGAATAGCGCCATGGGCAGTTTTGTGTCTATTTTATATTACTTGTTGTGTTGTGTTGTGTTTGTGTTTGTGTGTTTTTTTGTGTGTTTGTGTGTGTGTGTGTTGTTTGTGTGTGTGTGTGTGCATGCAATGTTCTTCAGGCCCTCACTGGCAAACAGATGGCATCAGCAACCCACAGGTAGAGTCCAAATTTCTTCACATGCTCCACAAATGCAATAGACCACTGCACACACACACAC